CTATAGTAGTTTCCATTTTCTTTTCCATTATCCCAATATAACCCCAATATGAACCCTATTATACTATAGTAGTTTCCATTTTCTTTTCCATTATCCCAATATAACCCCAATATAAACCCCATTATACTATAGTAGTTTCCATTTTCTTTTCCATTATCGCAATATAACCCCTACATAAACCCTATTATACTATAGTAGTTTCCATTTTCTTTTCCATTATCCCAATATAAACCCCAATATAAACCCTATTATACTATAGTAGTTTCCATTTTCTTTTCCATGATCCCCCATTTCAGAGTTCCTGATCCTTCGAAGGGGCCACCTCAGGCCGCAACATCTCGGGCGGAGTGCAGGGCGGAAAGAGGACCCAAAGCTTCTTTCCTCTGCTGGGTCATCTGAGCTGTCGTCTAAACTCCTAATATCCCCCTTAATAACCCCCTATAATACTTCCTTACAATCCCCTATATAACTCGCTTTAAGGAGTTTGGATATGGGTCATCAGTTGCAGCTTGCCTCCCTAGCATTGAGATCGCGACCCTCCTGAATACTCATTCCCGGCATCCAGTTGTGGAAGTTGCTGGAAATCTAGAATTGCAGACACTCTCAGTCTCAGTACAGTGAGAGAGGTGCAAGCACTTGATCTGAAGCAACGGGCTGAGGAGCACTGTCAACTATGCCTGGAGGGGCCCCTGATAGCCCCACAACACAATTCAAATCTTTGGACTGTTACATGGGAGGTTTCTGCCAGTTGGATGGCAAGAGTGTGGGTCGACTCTGGGGGCTGCACGGAGCCATTCTTGTACAGCCAGAATGCCCCGTCACCAAGCCAAGAGACGCAATCAATAAACCTCGACCCCTAAGAAGGGCGCAGCATTCAGCAGATAGCAACAGGCCAAGAAGGGAAGGCCCCAGCAACCCCATGTGTATTCTTCAAAAGGACTTCCTATCGGTGGACGGGCTATTTGCATCATTGGCAATCAGCAAGGGCCCGTTCACCACAAAGCATCTTGAAAATAGACAGGAAATAAATACGAATGATTCTGCCCTGGCGCCACATCTTCCAAGAGTCGCAAGAAGCTGGGTCACTAAATGGCTATTGTGAAGAACAGCTTTTCTACAAACGGCGCTGCGTGCTGTGTGCGGGAAGGAGGACCTCCACATAGGGGTACTTCAGCTCTGCCACGTTCAGATTGTGTCATCTTTTGAACTAGACTGACGCGACCGAGCAACCGGAGATCAACGCGTTCCACGCTGATGTGCCCAGGGGATCTTTGTGCAGAGCGCTACCGGATCCTTACAAAGCAAATTCAGGGTCTTCCTTCAGAGAAATGAGAACCCAAGCAGAACTCAGCTTCAAGTACATTTTGGCGCTGCAGGTCTTTGGTATAAAGCGGGTGTAGCGCAAGATCGCCTCTTAGCACTCCCGACTCGACCAATCGAGTAATCTGGCTTCTATTGCAGGATGCAGAATGCACACCAACATTTTGGCAGGGTCCGTTTTGGGGTGGGCTAAGCGCATCTTTCTTGATGTGAGCAAATGCTCTATGCTGCTGACTGCGCCAGCAGCATAACCTTGGCACCAGCTCCAGCAGCAGTAGCGTACAGTAATTTGCACATATTTTCTTTGAGCTGACTCTGCAAAATCTAGATCCTGCGGCGATGGGGTTCTCAAAGACTGAGGGACACCCTGAGATTGAGAAACTCCCACATAAACAGTACCTGTGTTAGGCAAGAACTGCAATCCTGAAAGCGTCCCAAGTATTGCATGCAAAAAGCTGATTTTCTGGGATGGGAAGTCTTGTGCTTCAAACTTTCTAGCAGGGAGCTGTCTTCTTTCCACTGCAATCTCATCTCAACTTAAACCCTACACCCTCAGCTAAAGTCTAACCCCTCCTAAAAGCATGCTTTCTGGTACCAAGGCACGGCGAGGGCCCAGCAAAAGCCAGCGGTACGGCGGCCGCAGCGGCCCTCAGTCAGCCACACTGTTTGAGGTACCCTATACCGTAATGACACATAGGACTATAACATTGGTATGACATTTGTGCCGACACTTGAATAAGCATAGAAGGCAGAAACCGTTGTTCTTGAAAATGACCGCCAACACGATTCCTGGCTTAAGGAGCTTTGGCTTCCGAAACTTGTCTTCATCTGATCTGAATCCTGGCGTCCAAGGTCTGCAAGAAGGTCATCCCGGAACGCGTCAGGGACCTGTGAGGAGGATGCTCGGCCTATGCTTGGAGTAAAGCAGGACTGTATTGAAGGCAATAGGATGCAACAGGGTTTCGGTTGTGGCCACTGGCCTTCGGACCCCTTTTACACGTGTGCAAAGAAAGCCCAAAACCTTCAGACGTGCGGGCATTGCCACGAGGCCGGGGCTTGAAACTTAAAATCGTCGTTCGTTCGCTTGTCGCTACCACTGTATACCACTGTTTCACTGTTGCTTGTGACAGGAGCTCCTTCTTTGTGCCCTCTTCCTCCTCCTGAAGCCCGCCTTGTACTGATCCACCAAGAGTCTCGTCGACGGATACTCGCCAAAGGCATGATCGAAAAGGTACAGCGGCGTGTCATCCTCCTGTGGGCTCAGTGACGCTCCCCTCACACTTACCGAGATGTGTCGCAGGTAGTCACAGTGTTTGACATGATGCTTAAAAGCTGGGCATGTGTTCGCCGACCACTTCCTGGCCTGATGCTCCATGTAGTTTCTGAAGTCGTCAAAGCGCATGCGAATACCAAACCTATGATCGCAAATGATCTTTTGATGGCCAAAGTCTGCCGCAAAGGTCTCCAGCTTCCAATACTCCATGGCAGGCCACCTGCTCATGGCCCCAGAAATCAGAACTGGAATAGATCCTTTCTGGTACCGCTGCCCAAAATCTGTGTACTTCTCATCATGAACGTTGACCCGCTCGATGTTGTCCATGCAGCAAACAAAGATGGAGGTCAGATTCAGGCGAGCAAAAGCATGGGCCTGACAAGCAGGAATCGCTTGCGATGATGCCAGGCAAACTCTAAGTGATCAATGCTGCCATTGTTACTGCAGCTATTGCTAATGCGGCTCCTGCTCCAAGTTAACAGCATCGTCTCCGCGACGTCTGTAGCCCAAACGGTGCTAAACAACACAGCGAAATGGCGACAAGACTATAGCAGCACTGTTGCGATAAAGCATACTACCATACTTGTACTCCGAAGCTATCAGAGGAGTATAAATCATGCGTCTAAGCATGGCTAAAGCGCTGCAAACCCACTAATTACAAACTTCTCATCGCATGTTCCCTGACCAAACCCAGATCCTGAATCCTAGACCAGCAACCGCCCCCTCCTCCCCCCGAACCCGTTTCCAGCGCCGCCTGCCAGTCTTGCTCTCTCCAAGTGGGCCTTCGATGCCTCTTTGCCAATGCCAGAAGTCGGCGTCCACGAGCTGACCAAGCTTCCTCTTCAATGATCGCAGACTCTTCTTTGGGGGCTCACTGCAGTTTGCAGCACACACTCTAAGTGGCTTTGGCACGTGAAGACCACGCTGAAAGGCACTCATGAACCCCAACCCCTGGAGGACAAGTCCCGCACATGCCTCGTTCCGTGGCATCGATAACATTCGCTTCTCCTGAGTGGACTTCTGAAAGACACTACCATCCGAACCGGCAGCCACACGCGAACCATGCCTCCAACCGCTGAATGCAGAACGCAAAAAAACAGCATCAGCACCCAATGAGATCTATCAAAGCTGCATGCACATCCAAGCCTTCTAAGCTACACGTGTAAGCCCTGAATCCTACTGGGCATGTCCCTACAACCTCCAATGCCAATCGTTATTCAGAAAAAAACACTGAGGACATGACAATACGTATAACCATAGGACCCTTGTGGTATCAACATTTTTGTTTTATAAACATAGCCCGCAGAAATGAGAGGAGCTTGGTAATTCCAACCCCTATAGAAGGGCCATGTGAGGGTCCGGGGTCCTCATTTTGGCGGCCGGGGTTAAAATCCCCCGTCTACCCAAAAAAGAACACAATTTGGCAGGCTGGTGTTCCCAAATTCCCTTACTTGGACGGTCAAAAGGACTTAGGAAGTAGGCTAAGAACCCCAGTTCTGCCCCTTATGAACCTCTTTACTAAGTCCCCCTGACCCTCCAAGTACTACCCCAGAAATTAAACAGTTTAGGGTTTAGGAACCCTAAACCCTAAACCCTAAACAGAAAGGGGCCCAAGATTCGTAGCCTGACATGGCAGCCATGGCCTCCGTAAGCTCCTCAGCGGCCTCTCGGTCTTCCGGAGCCTGCGCCAGAACCTGTTGATAATATGCTGATAATCTAGTATAGTATATTCTAGTGTGAATATATAATATATGTATATATATATATATTTGCTTATAGTTGATAACAGCTCCAAGGTTCAGGGTTCAGTGCTTTTAGGATTTCAGGGTTTAGGTTTTTAGGTCCTGGGTCTCTCATTCTGGTTGCGCTAACCCTACCCCGTACACCCTACCGACGCCATAACAACCCTGAACCCTGCATGAGAGCTGCAACCACGAATCCTGCATTCTCTCTCCTTACTCCCTTGCATCCTCAAGCAGACACTTGGAGCGCCCTAATTAAGTCCGAATTCTCAACTCCCGGATCCTCAGCCACAACACTTTCGAGCCCTCAAGCGCTACAAACGGAATTTGCTCAGACTGGGGGGACCCTAAGGGCCCTAGCAATCGGAAGAGGATCATGGGGGCCCCTCTTAGGGAACATACTGGGCAAAATTAGGGTTGGATTGGGGTTACATTAGATTTATATTGGGCTATATTAGGGTCATATTGGGGTTATATTATGATCCCTATATTATAGGGATCATGTGGGAAACTCCCACATCCCTCCTGCCTGCTTGTAGGCCTCCACCGCCTCGGGAATGCGGAACGTGCTCATCAAAGCCCGGGCCAATGTCTGCTGAGCCTTTCGCAGGAACGCACGCAAGAAGTGTTTGAGGTCAACTCTTTGAGAGAAGTATCTAGGCATGATGCACGGGTAAATTTTACTTTCTGGTCTAGTCTCTCCAGGTGCGCAACAATCCTTGATGCGAGTATGGCTCATAATGAGTAAGCCCGAAACTGCCATTGCAATATTCATTTTCTTAAAGACCTGAGATAGAGACTTCTGAAACGCTCCGAGTAATCTAAGCGGGTTGCGGATTGATTGTGTGCGCCTCAGGCAGCGTCAAAGAGGTGCCCGGGGCCAGAGCGACTGCTGCATGAGCTGCCTTGCCAAAGGCTTGCGTAAAGGCACTGGAGATTGGGAACTTTCCTGCATGTCCACCAGCCCTATCACACCAAGACTCCTGGTAATTACCAGGCGTTTGGTGGAGAGCGAGGATACAAAGAATCATGAAACAATATGCTGGCCTGACGAGCGCCATCGCAGCAAAAGCAAAAGGAACAAGCGCACTTGTATAGCAACGATGTAGACTTGAGGTTGCGAAGGCTAAAGAATCAGTGGCAGATTTGTAGCCCTGCTGACACTTGCACTACCAAGGTACTTCCACAGCCCGCTTGGCCGAAGATGCCGTGTCCAACATGAGCTCGCATTGCGCGATAGCCTTTCGCCACAAGCTAAGGACAGTTCATCCGGTTCATGGTTTCCGCAACATCACTTACAGGTTTCCCGTTTCCAAACTCTGAAAGCTGCCCCCAAGCCTATGTTTAAAAGCGCAAAGACTAAAGTGAATAAGGGCTCGGATCCTCTGAATTAGGGGAGACCGTTTGTGTCCCTAGCATGACCTTAGACCGCCTTGACTTCCCAAATGTTGATTGTTCTGGAATGGGTGATATAAAGGAAGTTGCATAAAACCTGACTGCCCTTTTATTTGGTTTTATTGCGATTTTAAGTCGTCACTCAGATTCAATTTCAGAGAAATATGAGTTGATTTCATTAGGATATTACATTGATTCATTTTAAACTGATTTAATCTAAGTTTAATTCATTAGATGTCAATTGCTCTAAAAATTTGGAGCTTAATTGGATGTAATCGATTTTTGACTCCATTCAATCGATTTTACTTTGATTTCAATAGGAACCCCACCCCCGCCTCCACCCCCCTCACGGAATGTTGTAATGTTCGGGTGGTACGATAAATGCCCCGCCCTCCCGAATCTTAAATACGGGTTGGCGTATGTACATTAGGGTGCCTTATATATTTTCAGCTATATTTTAGGGGGAAATGATTACAGGCATTCCTTTCAAATTCGCAGGAAGTACTCTAAATACCCAGGCGTCAAAACAAGCTTCTGGGTATGAACATGTTTATACGCGGATTGTGTGAAACATCCTTCAGTTCAAGCCCCATTGCAAGGCGACCAATGCTTCCCACCTGCATTTAGCTGACTGGGGCACGGCAGTCTGCGCTGCTAGCAGCTCAGGAAGTTCCAGCTCTTCTCGGGGCTGGAGTCTTTTGATGTACGAGTATAGCGTTTGGACTTAGGCCTTTTGCGACCCTTTATGGCTGGAATCGAGATTCGTTGCTGAGATGAAATTGGAACCTGACACATACACGCACTGCTCGGTAGGTCTACCTCACGAACTGGAATAGAAGAATCCTTCTTAGCAGCGTCTGCAGAGTAGGGACTCCCTAGATGTGTGTCAAGTTTCAAAGCCACACTGCCGCTTTGCCACTGATTCAAAGCAGCCCCTCAACCTTAGGCATGAGACCCTCACATGACCCCCTAGCTTAGAACCAGGATGCTTGCCTCTAACAGCTCCGGCGTCTTGATGCCTCGGTCTGTGACCGCCCGGAAGGCAGCGAGGGCCTTGTCAGTTCAGGATTGAAAAAGCAATTGACCGTGTCAGAGGCTTGGGAAGTGAAGGGCTAATATAGTTGGAGATCGCATTACTGCAAACAAACCTGATCCTATGGGGCCACTTCGTCTGGGATTTTTTGGTGAACAGTAAGAGGCAGCAGGCGGATCAGAGCTTAGACAGGCTCAGGAGACATGAGAACACAAAGCTTGGCCTCAACCCAGCATCCTAATCCTCATGACCAAGACATGCAACCTAATCGCGTGGTTTTACTCTGTAGTCTTGTAGAAAGCCGCGTGTTTTTATCCTGGGGAGCACATCCGAATGGCACGAATCCCACCAACGCCTCTCTGAAGCGGCCCTTCTCCGCAAGCTGGGTGCCGCTTTTTAGCGCATCGTCCCCAGAAATCTCCATGGCTTTTTGCTGCAGTGCTATTTGTGCTGTGCGTATGTTCGCATGGTGGGTGCTCGGTAATGTTCTTCTTATGTCCGCAGTGCTTTCAGTGAGAGATTGCGCACCATGTTGGTAGCCTGATCACGATGTTTCTTCGCATGGTTTTGTAGAAGCGTTCTGAGCAATTAGGTCATCAGAAGTGAGCCAAAACAGAAAGAAAGCAATAAACCGTGCAGCATGCCCTGATAGTAGCATCTCTGTGATTGCAAGAATGGTGAAGGTCATGGAACCTCCAAATGGACCCACACACATGGCTGATCAACTGGGGATAAACAGCTGTGAGTGAAAGCCGGGATCGCATGCTGTTGATTGGAATTGGGAGCTTTCAATTTGGGCCCCCTAAATTTGTTGGAGGGATCATGGGGACCTTGAAGTTTTCATCAGGCGATATACTATATACAGCATGGCTGATGGGCACACTACGGGTCAAAGCTAAACCATCAGGTTAGAAGCCCAAATCGCAGCAGAAAGTCATGCAATGGTGGCTCTGAAGTAGAAAAATGTTAATCCATCATCTCCCTTGGCAGCTTGGTTGCTTCTCCCTTCGCGCTCAATACCCCTGCAGTACACACTATGTTGAGGCTTTGAAGGAGATTTCTTATAAAGTAGGTGTCAGGTCATTTGTGTCAGGTGTTAGAAAAATGACCCAAAAATGCTTTGACATGAGGTTGGTGTGAGAAAAATAGCCAAAAATATGCTTTGACATGAGGTTGCATCAAGGTTTTGTTGCTGTTGTTGTGTTTGTTGGTGCTTATTTCAGTTGATCCTTGGCCACATGATATTGTAAAAGCAAGCTGGAAGAACATGACCCCTTAATAGTTGTGCACAGAGAAATCACACCCCCCTGTCCAGCAAAAACTAGTTGCTTTTTAATCTTGGTCTACCTGAAAGAAAAAAATGTTCTGCTCATTATGCATTGCTGCTGCTCTCCTTG